ACACACACACAAACACACACACAGACAACCTCTCGTCAATATGCGTTTTGCGCATTGCATTGCTGCAAAAAACGCATAAAAAAGTCGAGTGTTCGATTTTTCGCCGGACTCATGAGTGCTCGCAGCTCTGAAAGGAATGCCAAGGGTAAGAAATGCGAAGAAATTTAAAATCGGAAGAGTGGAATGAATTCTTCTCTAGTAGGCATACTGTAACTACAGCTGCTTCGATGTCGTAAAAAGTACAACAGAGGAAATTGCAGGTGAGACTGCTACACAGAAAAGTTTTAAGACACAGAAATATTAAAAGCCGCAAACGGTGGAAAATTTTTAAAAACTTTCGAAAAAATAAATTAGAAAAAATCAAAAAAATTCTTTTTGATTTTTTCTAATTTATTTTTTCTTTGTAATTCCTTTTTGTAATCTTTTTTGTGATAACCATGCAATCAGGTTGGAGCGAATATTTTTGAGCTCATCTTCCTTTAACGAATATGATTTATGAAAATTTGGAAAAACTAACATAGTTATGGAAGGCAGCTGGGAATGCGGCAAACGAGACACCAGTATTCGATGAATAAGCCACCGCAACAGCAGGGTTCAGTACAGGAGGAGCAGCAGTAATCCCGGATGCTTCACAGGTAGTAAAGTAGGCGGCGCATCTAGGTTGTGGTGGCAATATCGAGAAGTTTTGCTGCGGTACGCTTACCATAACATGCTGCTGCTGTAGTTGCTGTTGCTGTGGAGAGTACACTGTTAGTGCAGTGCGTCGCCGAGCTTTCCATGCTTTTATCATGCACATCAGCGTGGCATCGTTGTCATCCGGTGCACGTTTCAAAACAGGCTAAAAATTTCAAGTTTTGCTTTTATTTAACTGTAACTTTCATCTAAAACGCAGAGTAAATAATATTGTCCTTTCAGGCTACTGCAAACAAATGTTACTTTTGAAAAAAAAAAAAGGAAACTTCATTCGGTCTGATTCTTAAAACTACTAGCATCTTCGTCCTCGTTCCCTTACGGGTTAAGAAGCAGAGGGCAAGTAAAGGGTGGTTTCATGCCCAATTCGCAAAATAGTGGGTCCAAGTCCACAAAATTTCAATCCTCCAGCTTTTTAAATTGCGTTATATGCACAGTCCTTTTTGAGAGATTATTATTCACGAAAACAAAAACGTACTATTGCCGTAATAATAACAATAAACTTGGTAATAAGAAAAAAAGTGATGAACAAAAATAATACTAATAAACACAATAATAATGTTGATGAAAACAGTAATAACGGAAATAATCACAATGAT